AAAACTAAATTTCTATGTGGCTATATACAATTATATATAATATATATATAATGCTTATATATACATTATATATACAATATATATAAACTGATAGACTTATAATAGGAACTTAAGAAATTCACAAACTGGGTGCCTGGGTGGCTCAGTTGGTTAAGCGACTGCCTTCGGCTCAGGTCGTGATCCTGGAGTCCCGGGATCGAGTCCCGCATCGGGCAAACTAAAATTTAGTAAGGTTACAGAAGTCTTGAACACATAGGTAACAAGCTTTATTTGTTTAAAGATTTTATTTATTTACTTGAGAGAGAGAGAACACAAGCAGGAGGAGGGGCAGAGGGAGAGGGAGAAGCAGGCTCCCCGCTGAGCAGGGAGCCTGATGGGAGCCTGATGGGGGCTCGATCCCAGGACCCTGAGATCATGACCTGAGCCGAAGGCAGATGCTTAACCAACTGAGCCACCCCAGTGCCCCAACAAGCTTTATTTAATGGATGTATAATAACCTGAACCCAGTTTATTTATTTATTTTTTACGTAACTTCTACACCCTGCCTAGGGCTCAAACTCAGGACCCAGAGATCAAGAGTGGCATGCTCCACCGGCTCAGCCAGCCAGGCGACACATGAATCTGATTTAAAAGAATTTTTTTTCTCAAGCACATAGAGGCATTTACAAAAATTGCCTATGGACTAGGCCATAAAATAAGTCTCAAAAACGTTCAAAGAATTGGGATCATACAGGGGCAGTTCAGTCAGTAAAGCATGCGACTCTTGATCTCAGGTCATGAGTTTGAGCTCCACGTTGGGTGTAAAGATTACTTAAAAATAAAATCTTTAAAAAAGAACAACAAAAAAATGGAGACAAAGTATGGGATCATACAGACCACAACTGAGTTAGAAGTCAATACAGGAAAGTTTCTTAAAAATCAGAATAAAAAGCACACTTCTAAATAGGTGAGCTCAAAGGAAAACTCACAGTGGAAATGAGAAAATGCAGAAGGGGCCAATATGGAGACCAAACATGAACAGCAATATCCCAGCCTGAAACAGGAGCTGCTGGTAGAGCAGGACCTCAGGAAGACAGATATCCTGAAGAAGAGGAACAGACAAAAACTAATGGGCTAAGAATCCCGCCTACAAAGTCACGAGGAAGAAACAACTACATAGACTCGAAGGAAACAGAAGAAGAAGAGAATAAAGATGAAAGCTGCCCGCGAACGCGATGGAAAACAATCATACCATAGAGGGCTGTCCCGAAGCCTGGTCTGTTCTTAGTAAAAGCTAATAAAATAGAAAAAATACTGCAACATGGATCAAGTAAGAGGAAGACGGGTCTGAACAATAGTGGGGACGAGAAAAGGACAACTGCGGATACAAGAGAGATTTTAAAACAAAATAGAAATAAAAATATGTGGAAAATGTCAGACTAACAATTTTGAAAACTTAGAGACAACATGAACAATTTCCTAAAAAATATATAATGTAACAAAAGTGGGAAATGGAAGATTGAATAGATTACTAACCACCAGAAGAAGTGAAATCAGTAGTTAAAAATAAGCCGCACAAATGTACACCTACTGTAGGAGCCGGGCTCCAAAGTGGCCCCCACGAAGTCCTCGTTCCCGGATCCCCACTCCGGGGACAGGTGTTTCCTGCTCCAAATAGGGCGGACCCACGTAAACCAGGAGGGTGCTGTGCAGAGGAGGAACTGTGACTTTCCAAGCTAAACTAAGAAAGACATTGTGACTTCTATCCTGATAGCTCTCTCTTGAAGGATGAGGGATGCCCTGGGGGATACTAGGTCTCAAGACACGCAAGCAGCTCAATGAAGAGGGCCGTGTGGCAAAGATCCTGCCATCAGCCAGCAAAGGACTGCCAACCACGTGAGAAGCAGACCCTCCAGCCCTTGTCAAGATGACTATAGTCCCAGCCAAGCTTCAGGGATAACCCATGAGAGATCCAGAGTCACAGCCACCCAATTAAGCTGCTCCCAGATTTCTGACCCTCAGAAACTGTGAGAAAATAAATTGAAACCTCTAGGGTTTGGGGTATTTTTAATACAGTGATAGATAACTGGTACACACACAATAAAACCAGGCCAAGGTGGTTTTGGAAAGGAGTTCTAGAATACATTCAAGGAAAATGTAATCGTATTCTTTACAAACTGTTCCCAAAGAGATTGTCCCCATGCACTTTATGAGGCTGTATGATTTGGATTATACTGTCAAAATTAGTCAAAGATATTATTTTTAAAATTTTTTCAAAGGAATCTCATTAATGAACAGATAATAAAAGTTCTAAACAAAACATTAGCAAACTGAATCCAACACGTATTTTTTAAACGTGTTATTAGGCTTGGGTTTACTTTATAGGATTGCAAGAATGAATTTATTTTTTCAGTCGTTAAGCATCTGCCTTTGGCTCAGGTCATGATCCCAGGGTCCTGGGATTGAGTCCCACATTGGGCTCCCTGCTCAGCGGGAAGCCTACTTCTCCCTCTCCCACTCCCCCTGTTTGTGTTCCCGCTCTCACTGTGTCCCTCTCTGTCAGATAAATAAAATCTTTAAAAAAAAAAAAAAAATTCCTACAAATCAATAAAAAAAAGACAAAATGCTCCATTGTAAATAGGCCCATGTATATACACAGATAATTTTCAAAAGAAGGGATCTAAACATTTAAGTTTAAACATTTAAAAATAAGTCCAATAAACATGTAAACATTTAAAAATAAGTTCAACTTCACTAGTTATCAGGGAAATGTAAGATAAAACAACGAGATACCATTTCTTACCTATCAGATTGACAAAAAATTCAAAATTATAATACTATCAAGAGTTGAGAAGGATGTGGAGTAATGGGGAATAAAAAGAATGGGAATACACATCCTTCAATGAGAGAACAGATAAGTTGTGGAAAATTCATCCAATAGAATATTATGCAGCTATTAAAATGAATGAACTAGAGCCGAATGCTTCATATGGATAGATCTCAAAAACATGTGAGGGGTGCCTGGCTGGCCCAGTCAGAAGAGCATGAGGCTCTTGATCTCATGGTCGTGAGTTCGAGTCCCACGTTGGGTGTAGAGATTAAGTAAATAAACTAAAAAAAAAAAAAAATGTGAGCCCAGGGGAGAAGTTTGAAGAATGCTACATGCAGAGTCCCATCATTTATAGACAACTTAAAAACTAGCAAAGCATTATTTCAGCCTGTTCAGGGTTGTAGACTTGTGTAGTTAAGAGTCTAAAAGCACCACTAGGAATGTGAAACACCACAGTTATTAAGTAGCTCACAATCAAAATAATAGCCAACTTCATTGAGTCCCCTATGCACCAGCTGCCGACTTCACTACTTGTCTTGGGTTATCTCATTTCATCCTTGCAACAACCATATGGACCACCATCCTCCTCACTCTCCTGGTGAGGAAACAGGCTTTGAGAGCTGCTCAGTAGCTTGCCCAAGAACACAGTGGTTAGCACTAGGTCCACATTCCATCAAAAAGTCTGGGTTTTAGTCCATCAAAAATGTGGAGCAGTGGAAATAAACAAGACAAGGTAGGGCCAAGGAGCCTCCAGTGCAGGGGGCATATAACAACACACACACACACACACACACACACACACACACACACACACACACTGCCCCCCAAGTGAAGGGTGAGCCGACCACACAGCAGTGAGGAGGAGGGTGCTTAGTGCATGGTAGCCTGAGAGGGGAGTACACAGCAGGGAACACTCGAGTCTGCCTAGGCCATCATGGAAGGCTTTACCAGTTGAACTTGGCCTGGAAGAAGTCCATGTACAAATGCCAGGAACCCAGCTCTTCCTGCTCCGCATCCGATTGGCGTTGTTCAGAGGACCCCCGCTCTGGACCATGAGCACGCGGGGCCCAATCACGCAGGGCTGAGACCAACCCCGGTGAAGACAAGCTGATTTCATGTAATCTCCCATTTGAGAAAGTCTGCTCTCACCTTTACATGCACAGAGGAAAAGCCGACTCAAAGCTCTTCTTTTGCAATCATGAGAGCAGGACTAATTGCTTGCTCTTTAATAATAAGAGCTAACATTTATTGAGCATTGACTGTATGCAGGGCGAAGTCAGCACATGATTTATTGCCCTTAACTCTCACAAAAGCTCTGTGAGGGCAGGTACTATGTGTCCCTTTCCAGGGATGAGGACACCAAGGCTTAAAGAATTTAGGGGTCTGGCCCAAAGCCCTATGCAGTTAGTAAGTGGTGGAGCTGGGATTTGACACCACGGCTGTCCTCTCTGGCCCATGTTTAAACCACTGCTTCTCGCAAGCACAGACATACAATTAAAGCAACAAGGGCTTTATGGCTCTCAGCTGGGCGACTAAATGAGAACGTGATGCCACCATAATAAACTGAAAACCAAGCTTATCATTACATTCATGAACACCTGTCACATGTTAGGTACTCCATAAATGCTTTGAAATGAGGTAGCATTTAGTTCCAGGAAATGGAAACCAACCCAGTGTCACAATGTCATACTTCACCCAGGGAGGGAGCAAGGAAGAACTTACAGAGCACGCACACATGCAGACAGAGCTGTCTCTGGCAGGCACACACAGGGACTCCAGGGACCCAACCCCCTATAGGCTCCGACATTCCGGTGAGCTCCTCCTCCTCCTCCCAAAAGTCTCTGCTTCGCTTCCCTCCTCCTACTCCTTGGCACTCAGCTGGGACCACTGACTCCAGGGGCTTCTGTCACTGGGTGCTGAGCTCCTGGCAGGAAGGCCTTGTCAGTAGGCCTCCTTCCTCCGCCAAAGAAAGGAAAACCAGCACTCTCCCCAGTAGCCCACAGAGATACATAAAGTGAGAAAAAGGGCAAGGGAAAGAACCGGAAGAGTTCTGCTTTTCTAAAGTAGCTAAAGAGAACAATCCATCCTGTCCCCCAGGGAAAAGCCACCATCACTGGGATCCAGCGAGTTCATTTTATTCATTCATTTCATAAACATTTACCAGACACCCTGTGCAGGAGACAGACCTGGCTCTGCACCCTTCCTCCACCGGAAGGAGACCCCTCTCTGCCCTGGGGAAAGTGCAACCCAAGGATGGCCCAGACACAATCCATGGCCCCTGGGGCACGCCGTGTAAGGGTACACAAAGGCCAAGCAGACACACACAATTTACAAGTGTAAAGACTCCTGTGGAGAGGGAGGGAGGAGGAGGGACCCTGGGAGGTGGGATTGGGGGGAGAGAGGGAGGGAAGGAGGGCAGAAGGGAGGGGAGGGAGAAGGGAGAGGAAGACAGCTGCAGCCTGGCTGGATTCTCCCCCAGAGCCACCTCTGACAATACTCTGGCCACGTTTTAATTAGTTGCAAGGTTTTCCCACTGACTCAAACAAGAGCTCTCTCTGATTAATCTTCGAAACAGCCGGCCGAGTTTAATCATAGCAAACACGATGATCCCCGTTATGACGGCCTGGGTAGCTAAAAGCAGAAAATAAAGCCCCCAGAACAGGCTGTGGTCTTGGCGTTGGCCCCGGGCCACCAGCTGCGTGCGGGCCCAGGGCTCCGAGCCGTCGGGCACCCAGGCGGTGTGGCCGGGGGCCCCGGGCAGGGCCGCCCGGGTCGGGGCTGGGGCAGGGCGGGGAGGCGGGCCGCGGGTGCCCGGGCACTGCGGGTCCTCGTCCGGCAAGGCCCAGAGCGGCAGGCCGGCGCGGGGTCCGGGCCCGCGGCACCGCGGGGGCTCGGCTCGGCCCACGAGGCCCGGGTGCCGCCGCAGCCACGCCAGGAAGGGCCGCAGGCTGCAGTCGCAGCGCCAAGGATTGTGTCCCAGCAGGACTTCCGCCAGCCGGGGCAGATCCTCAAACGCGTCGCCGGGCAGGGCCTCCAGCTGGTTGTGCTCGAGCTCGACCCGCTCCAGGCTGCGGAGGTGGCGGAAGAGCGCGCGCGGCAGGGCCCGCAGCCGGTTGTGGCGCAGCGAGACGCGGCGCAGCCCGTCGAGGCCGCGCAGCAAGGCGCCGGGGAGCGCGGCCAGGCCGTTGGAGTGCAGGGCGAGCACCTGGAGCGCGCCCAGGCCCCAGAAGGCGTCCTCGGGGAGCGCGCTCAGACGCGGGCTCAGGGTCAGGCCAAACTCCCGCAGGCCGCTCAGGGCGCGGAAGGCGGCGGCGGGCAGGGTGCGCAGCCGGGTGCGGTTCAGCCACAGCTCCCGCAGGCCGGCCAGCTCCCCGAAGAGCACCTCCGGCAGCTCTTCCAGCGGGTTCTCGAACAGCGTCAGGAATGTCAAATTGTGCGAATAAAGAAAGAGTGCGGAGGGCAGAAACTCCAGGTGGTTTCTGGAGAGAGTCAAGTAGCTCAGGCTCCGGAGCGGGTCGAAGGCTCCCGGTGCGATGGAACGGATGTGATTTCGGTCCAGCTGCAGCTCCTTCAGGGCGCGCAGGCGACTCAGCAGCCCCGCATCCAGAGAGACGAGCTGGTTCGAGTGGAGCACGAGCTTCTCAAGCTTAGCCTGTGCCCCGAGCAATCCCTGGGGCAGGTGGGTCAGATTGTTTTCCGACAAATCCAACAGTTTCAGGTTCCCCAGATTTGTGAAGAGGCGAGAGGGAAGGAAAGAGAGCTGGTTTTGGTTCAAAAAGAGCTCCTGCAGGTTAACCAGTTTCTGAAACATGTTTTGGTCGATGTCCTTCAGTTCGTTGCGGTCCAGAAACAACTGTTCCAGGAGCACCATCTTATCCAACAGCGCGGCCGGCAGATGCGTGATCTTGTTGCGCGACAGCCTCAGGGTTTTAAGTTTTATCAGGTCGTGGAAGGTGCCGGGGGCAATGGAGACAATGTGGCTGTCGGACAGCATCAGCCGCTGCAGGACCGTCATGCCGCTGAAGCTGTGGTTCTGCAAGGCGCCGTGGCCCATTCGGAAGAGCAGGATATGCGTGAGGTTGGCGGGCAGGCCGAGCTCTGCGAGGCGCGCCACGTCGCCCCCGGAGCACTGCGCGGCGTCCCGGAACACACACTTGCAGGCCGGGGGGCAGGGGAAAGCCTGGGCGCGCAGGAGCCCCAGCGCCGCGCACAGCAGGGTGCTCCTCAGCATGTCTGAAAAGGCAACAGCGGGAGGTCTGTAGGGGCCACGCCAGGGCGAACGCTCGGATTCGATCTGGTAACCCTGCAGAGGCCGGAGCCTTTCGCCAGGGTTATCACTGACTTTGACTATTATCCCTCTTTTCTCAGGAGTGCGGATTGCCCCCGGTGGTGAAAAGACATTGGTTCTACACTGAGAGGTCTCATTCTTTTGTTCTACCAATTTTCTACTCTCAGGTTAAAGCACTGAAATTAAAGCGTCTTCAAGTTATAGTTAAAAGCCAGTACTCTAAAATCTTTACATACAACTAATGAAAACAGTCATTCAAGCATCGAGGCTCACAGACATCACTGAGCAGCGGCCACGGTGAGGAGCCCTGCTCTTCTTGCCTCTGCCCAGCGGTGGCTATAACCAACAGTCAGGACGGAAACAGCAAAGTCTGGAAAAACAACAGCAACCACCACCTGATTCCTTTCACCACAATCATGCTATAGGCACAGTACTTATTCTACAAAAACAGTAACACCCTCAAAGAGCGAACCCCTTCCGTTAGCCACAGTGAGAAAAACAGGGAATACCTATCATTTTATGCCATTCGTTGTTCTCAGCGTTTTATTTACATTAATTCATTCAATCTTTACAATAACCCTATGAGGTAGATCCTATTCTTAACCCGGGTTAATGGATGATGAAACTAAGGCACAGAAAGGGTAACTTAACCATGGCCACAGAGCTAGAATCTGAGAATAGTATTTCTGATTGTGTCATAAATAAGGAGCTATCATTTCTAAGATGCTTAACAAAAAACTCGCCGCATTGAATTACATATGAAATATACACAGTAATGCTAATCTGCCAAAACAAGGTTTCCCAAGTGTAATTTTACACAAATCATTTCTTGTACAAAATTTTATAATGTATGCACATACAGACTAACCAAGCCCTCAGTTGCCCATAGTAATTTTTAAAGTATTTGACCTTACCTGAAATGGTGCTGTACCCGAAAGCAACTGAACAGCTCGGCTCGGGGCTTTGCCAGTGATTCAGCACTTTCCAAAGGAAGAGGGAAATGTCCTTGCATCCTGAGGATAAAGACTTTACCAGAATAAAAGTCATGGAAAGGACCCTATCTCAGAGGACATATTCTGGTTTTTAATGAAAGCTTCAAACTGAAAGAGATCCTATGTAACTTAAATCCTGCTGTCAAAGCTGAATGATAAAAACAGAAGAGAGAGGTTTCTCTGTAAGATGGCACACTATGACTGTGATGCCAGGATAGCTTAGCGACACAGTTGGATCATTGTGGCAGCCATACCCCTGGATGGACCACATTTCCTTCAAGTCTTCCTTCTCCCACCACATTGCCCCAATTCTCTATTCCAGTTCCCCTCTCCCCCTTTGAGGAATAACAAGGCTAAAAACATTCTCAAATATGTCCGAAAATGGCACCACAGGGTTGAAGGAAATGTCCGGCTGCTTTCCAAAGTAGCTGTACCAATGTATGATGCCACCTACAGTGTATGACAGTTCCTGTGCCTCACAGCTCTGCCCATACTTGGAATTGATTTTTTAAATTTAAATTTTACCATTCATATGAAGTCATTGTCAGTGTGGTTTTAATTTTTCATTTCCCCCATTTCATGAACTTGAGCATCTTTTCGTATTTTTAATGCCCACTTGCGCTTCGTCTTCTCAGAAATGTTGGCTTCTTTTGCCCATTTTCCTATATGCAAAATATGTATGTCTTTTAAAAAACTGAACTGTAGGCATTCTTTATGTATTCTGGATGCTAATCCCTTGTCAGTTATAGGTGTCAAATATCTTCAACTAGTTTGTGGTTTGCTTTTTCATCTTCTTCATGATGTCTTTTGATGGACATGTCTTGATATAAACAAAGTTATCAATCTTTTACGATTTGTTTTTTGTATCGAAATAAATCCTTCTCTTCTCCTGAGTAAAATGAAAAAAGTTCTCCTATAATGCCTTACTGAGTTTTATAGTTTTGTCCTTTGTTTTTAGGTCCTTAATCCATATTGAACTGATATTTGTGTATGATGTGTGTGAGTGGAGTCCAATTTTATCTTTTTCCATTAAGACCAGCTGTCTTATATATATATA